CAAAAGAAATTGTCAGGTCGTAATCACATGAATTCCTATTCCAATTTCACACAGTTCTTCAGAGAGTTGCCAGAAAGGGATTTTTACTTCAAATTGAGAGCTCAGATTGAAGAGCAGAGTGTGTTTAAACGCAAATGGTTTCACCTTCTTAGCAAACTACCTAGTTGACAGAAAGATGGATCAGCTTGTCTTAGTTAAAGGCCGTGGCTGCTGGAAGGCCTTCAGGCTAGATCAGCCTTTCCCAACTTAAGTGTTCTCTAAATGTTTTGGACTTCAGCTCCCATCAGCCCCAGTCAGGGTATCCAACAGCCAAGAGTATGGGGACAGTTGTCCAGAACCTCAAGAAGACACAGACTGTAGATGGGATATAGAATTAAACCCTAATGCCTGTAACTCAAATATAAGTCTCCTTCATGGATCGCTGCCTTGTCATGGCAAAGGGGCTTGCGTAGCTCAATGAAGCTATGAGCTATGCCGTGCAGGGTCACCCAGGACGGACAGGTCATAGCAGAGAGCTCTGACAAAAGCTGATCCACTGGAGAAGGAAATGGCAACCCACTCCAGTATCTTTGCCATGAAAACCCCATGGACAGTACCAAAAGGCAAAAAGATATGATGCTGGAAGATGAGCCCCTCAGGTCGGAAGGTGTCCAATATGCTACTGGGGAAGAGCAGAGGGCTAGTACTAGTAGCGCCAGAAAGAAGGAAGCAACTGGGTCAAAGCCGAAAGGACACTCAGTTGCGGATGTATCTGGTGGTGAAAGGAGAGTCCGATGCTGCAAAGATCTATACTCCTTAGGAACCTGGAATGTAAGATCCATGAATCAAGGCAAGCTGGATGTGGTCAAACAAGAGATGACAAGACTGAACATCGACATCTTAGGAATCAGTGAACTAAAATGGAGAAGAATGGGTGAATTTAACTCAGATGACCATCAGGTATACTACTGTGGGCAAGGATTCCTCAGAAGAAATGAAGTAGCCTTCATAGCCAATAAAAGAGTAAGAAAAGCAGTACTGGGATACAATCTCCAAAATGACAGAATGATCCCAGTTCGAATCCAAGGCAAACCATTCAACATCACAATAGTCCAAATCTATGCCCCAACCACTGGTGCTGAAGAGGCTGAAGTTGACCAGTTCTGTGAAGGCCTACAACACCTTCTAGAATTAGGTGTTGAATTCTAGATAATTCTAGAATTCCCCTAGAATTAACACCCAAAAATGATGTCCTTATCATCATGGGGGACTGGAATGCTAAAGTAGGAAGCCAAAAGAAACCGGAATAACAGGCAAGTTTGGCCTTGGAGCACAAAACGAACCAGGGCAAAGGCTGGTAGAATTTTGTCAAGAGAATACGAAGGTCATAGCAAACACTCTTTTCCAACATCCCAAGAGACGACTCTACACATGGACATCCCCAGACGGTCAACACAGAAATCAGATTGCCTATGTGCTCTGCAGCCAAAGATGGAGAAGCTCTATACAGTCAGTAAAAACTAGACCAGGAGCTGACTGTGGCTCAGATCATGAGCTTCTGGTTGCAAAATTTAGGCTTAAGTTGAAGAAAGTAGGGAAAAGCACTAGGCCACTCAGGTATGACCTAAATCATATCCCTGATGAATATACAGTAGAGGTGACAAATAGATTTAAGGAATTAGATCTGATAGACAGAGTGCCTGAAGAACTATGGACGGAGGTTCGCACCATTGTACAAAAAGTAGCAACTAAAACCATCCCAAAGAAAAAGAAATGCAAGAAAGCAAAATGGCTGTCTGAGGAAGCTTTACAAATAGCTGAGGAAGGAAGGGAAGCAAAGGCAAGGGAGAAAGCGAAAGATACAAACAATTGAATGCAGAATTCCAGAGAACAGCTAGAAGAGATAAGAATGCCTTCTTAAATGAACAGTGCAAAGAAATAGAAGAAAACAATAGAATAGGGAAGACCAGAGATCTCTTCAAGAAATTGGAGATATGAAGGGAACATTTCATGCAAAGATGGGCATGATAAAGGACCAAAATGGCAGGGATCTAACAGAGGCAGAAGAGATTAAGAAGAGGTGGCAAGATTACACAGAAGAACTATACAAGAAAGAGCTTAACGTCCCTGATAACCACGATGGGGTGGTCACTGACCTCGAGCCAGACATCCTGGAATGTGAAGTCAAATGGGCCTTAGGAAGTCTGAGCAACAACAAAGCTAGTGGAGGTGACAGCATTCCAGCTGAGCTATTCAAAATCCTAAAAGACGATGCAGTAAAAGTGCTGCACTCAATATGCCAGCAAATTTGGAAAACTCAACAGGGCTACAGGATTGGAAAAGGTCAGTTTACATTCCAATCCCAAAGAAGGGCAATGCCAAAGAATGTTCAAACTACCACACCATTGCACTCATTTCACATGCTAGCAAAGCGATGCTCAAAATCCTGCAAGCTAGGCTCCTGCAGTATGTGGACCGAGAACTACCAGAAGTATAGGCAGGATTTCGAAGAGGGAGAGGAACTAGAGATCAAATTGCCAACATACGCTGGATCATGGAGAAAGCTAGGGAGTTCCAGAAAAGCATCTACTTCTGCTTCATTGACTACGCTAAAGCCTTTGATTGTGTGGATAACGACAAATTGTGGCAAGTTCTTAAAGAGATAGGAGTACCAGACCATCTTATTTGTCTCTTGAGAAACCTATATGCGAGTCAAGAAGCAACAGTGAGAACTGGACACGGAACCACTGATTGGTTCAAAATTGAGAAAGAGTTCAGCAAGGCTGTATACTGTCTCCCTGCCTATTTAACTTATATGCAGAGCACATCATGAGAAAGGTGGGGCTAGATGAATCACCAGTTGGAATTAAGATTGCTGGGAGAAATATCAACAACCTCAGATATGCAGATGATACCACTCTCATGGCGGAAAGTGAAGAGGAACTAAAGAGCCTCTTGATGCGGGTGAAGGAGGAGAGTGCAAAAGTTGGCCTGAAACTCAACATTAAGAAAACTAAGATCATGACGTCCAGTCCTCTCACTTCCTGGCAAATAGATGGGGAAGAAATGGAGGTAGTGACAGATTTTATTTTCCTGGGCTCCAAGATCACCGCAGATGGGGACTGCAGCCAAGAAATTAAAAGATACTCCTAGGGAGGAAAGCTATGGCAAATCTAGACAGCATACTAAAAAGCAGAGACATCACCTTGCCAACAAAAGTGCGTATAGTTAAGGCTATGGTTTTCCCAGTTGCAATGTATGGCTGTGAAAGCTGGACCATAAGGAAGGCTGAGCGCCAAAGAATTGAGGCCTTTGAATTGTGGTGCTGGAGGAGACTCCTGCGAGTCCCTTGGACCGCAAGGCGATCTAACTGGTCAGTCCTAGAGGAGATCAACCCTGACTGCTCTTTAGAAGACTAGATACTGAAGATGAAACTCAAATACTTTGGCCACCTAATGAGAAGGAAGGACTCCCTGGAGAAGACCCTGATGCTGGGCACAATAGATGGCAAAAGAAGAAGGGGGCGGCAGAGGATAAGGTGGCTGGATGGAGTTACTGAAGCAGTCAGTGTGAGCTTCAGTGGACTCTAGGGGATGGTGGAGGACAGGAAGTCCTGGAGGAACGTTGTCCATGGGGTCGCGATGGGTCGGACATGACTTCGCAACTAACAACAACAACAAATATGATTAGTCTGATACTTTTATCCTGTTTAATACACTAAAATTCCTGAGCAGCTCACACATTGAAAATACAAAGCAATAATATAAAAATGATGTAAAGCAATACATTTTTATAAGATTGCAACAGAGCAGCAGTAGAAGAGGGAGCAGCAAATCCTGGAAAGGAAAAAGTCATAAGAACGTGAGAAAAGTGTGCTGGATCAGACCCAGGTCTATCCAGTCCAGCCCTCTGTACAAACAGTGGCAAACCTGCCACCCACAGGATCCCTCCAGCAGGAGGGGTGCAAGAGCTCCACCAGCCCAGTTCCTCAGCAATGGGTGCCTGCAGGCAGGAGGGAGCACATGGCCAGCAGGGCTAGTAGCCATGGGTAGCCTCCTCCCTCGTGTCCAATCCCCCTTTAAAGTCATCCAATTTGGTGGCCATCACCACTTCCTGTGACAGCAAATGCCACAGTTTAAACTTTGGGTAAAAAGTGCTTTCTCTGATCTGCCCTAAACCTGCCACCCATCAGCTTCAGGTTTGTGTGTTCTCCGCACTGTGCGTTATTTCAAACACCTCCATCATGACTCTCCTTCCTCACTGTTTTTCTGAGCTAAGCTCCTTGGAGGGAAGGTAGAATATAACTGCATGCAGTAAACAGATGCATGTGTTTTCCAAAGGCTCTTCACACACACACCACCATTGCTGCCGCTCAAACCACATGTGAGGGAGACGGGGTTTGCGCCATCACAGAGGGAGAATAAGCGTCGGTGGCTCACTGCCCGGCAAGATTAATTAATCCAATCTGGCGGCATGCTTGGGGAAGTTAATAAGCCACTGTGACTTGTTTTCCTCCATGCTCGAGTGAGCCTCCCCAGGGTTCAAAGGACAGATGCCACCACTGAATAGACCCAGCTGCTCGAGAAATTGGCTGACAAACAGCTTAAGTCAAGGACTGCCACCTGAAGATTTTCAGATTCTGAATGCCTCGTCTGCCTGCCTTTTAGATTCATGTGTATGCGATAAAACCCTTCGTAAAACGGAGAAAACAGGGTGGAAGAGAGCATCTGCCGTTCTCTTTCCTTGTTATCTACTACTTTAAAAAAGCTCAGATCCATCCAAAAGAGCAGCGACACCAAAAAAAAAAAAAAAAAACCCACATGTGAGTGTGGGGGAGAAAGAGAAGAAAGACCATATCATAAGATAGATCCACTCATTTACCTTCCCTTTGATAGAGAAAAGAAAGATTAGATCTAAGAAAATTATAGGTAATTCTTGACTTCCTTGATCTGTATATTTCTTGAGCCAAAGTACTGGTTTAACTTCTCAGTTTGGTTTTTTTTCCCGTTTTTCCCCCGCAGGTGTTAAAGCCGTGTTTTCTGGGCACTACCACAGAAATGCCGGGGGCTTGCACCATGGCCTCGACATGGTGGTGTCATCTGCCATAGGATGCCAGCTAGGAGAAGACACCCATGGGGTGAGAGTGGTCGCCGTCACTGCCGAAAAGATCGCTCACAGATACTACAGTTTAGATGAACTGAGTAGCCCTCAAAGAATGGAAGAAGAGCTGCTGGCCTTGATGAAGCAAAATTAGCCCTTGTAACTTGGTGGGCCAGGAAATAAATGTGACCAATCCATCCAGGTATGTGGTGGTGTCCCTCGCCTTCGGCCTCCCTCTGTATTTCTCCGATTCAAAAAGCAATGATTCTCATCCAGTTGGCCAATTAGTGAGCACCTACACCAGCAGAACAGCATCGGCCAGCTGCCGGTTGGACTCCCTTTCAAGATGTGTTTCAGTTTAATCCGTATTACAAAAGAAATGAGCAGGCTGTTGGTCCTGCCATTAAGAGAGGATCTTCTAAGAAAGCACTGCCCTTGGAATCAGTAGCTTTCTCGTGGCGTTTAGATGCTTTCACAGACCAAAGCAGGAGAAGCTCAGGGACGTGCCAATCGACAGTGAGAGGCTGCAACGAACGGAATTCCACATCATGGAACGAAGACGAGGTTGAGCCGCGATTCCGAGAGCAAACTCTGCCCAGACGCCTGTGATTGTGTCATGGCTTTGATGAAGCTTAAATGCTGCATGCAAGTCTCTAAGGCAGATGGGGATAAAGGGGAGGGCCAGCGTGGCTTTGTCTGTCCCGCATCCTCCCCAGCTGGGAAAGGCGCAGGTGGCCACAAAGCTCAGCTCCTCCTCCAGCCCTCTGTCGGAGAGTCCTCTGGCCCCGATCTGTACGTCTGGCCCACCATTCGCCCTGCTGTAACAGGCAAGGACCACGGGATTGGCCAGACTCTGCCGCAGCTCCCTTGGTGCCCGTTCCCCTCCAGCCTCACCGAGATTTGGACATGCCTGGTTAATATACCCACAAACAGGCAGGAGGAGCTCTCCCTCAATCGTGAGTGGGGGACATACGGCCCACCACTTGCTGGTGGACTACAGCTCCCATCATTCCCAGCCCCCACCCGCCTGGGGCTTGTGAGAGCAGTAGTCCAACAGCATTCCAAGGGTCACCCCCAATGGCAGGGCTCATGACCCCCCCCCACCTGCTGCCTCCTCCCCATGAGCTCACACTTGGCGGGTTTCGCAGGGTGGGGGCCTGCATTCTTTGGATGGTTCCAGATGTGCCTGGGGTGGCATCCTCCCCAGGGTGTTCTCAGAGGGAGGTGGCTGCCCTCTGACGCAGCCGCCTGCTTCTTCCGGCAGCCATCTTCGTTGGCAGCCTCAAACGCCTGTTTTACTGTTCTGTGGAACGGGCCCCTCGCAGCAGCCCCCCCGCATGCCTGAACTTAACATGCATGCCAGGGAGCTGCAGTGGGGGAAACTGATGGGCGTCTCACCCATTAATATTTCCTGACTGCAATGGAAAGTGTGTGATTGCCAAGAGGATTTATTTCTGATGGCCACAAAGATTTCTGGACTTGCATGTGCAAGACGGCTTACCATTTAAAAATGCATTATCTTCTTATGTGCATTAACAGGCCATAATTGAGCTGTGGGGGTAAGAATGATAGTCAGCTGTATGATTTGCCTACCAGGCAAAATGACAACGTTAAAAGAATGCAGCTATGTTCTTAAAAATGTATGTGAGGCTGATTCTAATGGTTGTCCCAAGCCAGTTGCTAGATTTTCTGTTGTTCTGTTTCCATGCAAATCGCTCTCGGCACAGTCCGGAATAGACCAAATCAAAGGTGAGCAATAAGGAATATTTTGTTTGAATATTTCCCCCTCCTGTTTCTGGCTTTCGGGATGCTGCTTTGCATATTGTTGGAAGGAGAAGAGTTATGATTGTTCGTATAGTTGATCTTCAAAACAGTTTGATCCCATGGAAATCTAATAAATTTATGACTGATACACCAAGTTTGCTTCTCTGTTTTACCTCTCATTCTGCAAAATGGTTGTGCAACCAGTTCTGGAAAGCACCTGGGTGTCGGGGAAGCCTTCCAGGAGTGATGCTGCAGAAAGTATCAGAGGAACCATTGCTGGGAATCCAATTCCCATCCAACTTCCCACTCACAAGCGGCATGGAAAGAGCAGCACCTGCTCCTCCTTCAAGGTCAGGAAAGTGATCTTTAGGAGGAAGAAAAAGTGGGTGGGAAGGGGAAGAGATGGGAAAGGCCAGGATATGAGTTATCCTGAAGACTCTGCATCTCCCTTCCTTCCCTTCCTTGCCAGCTAGACAGGCGAAAAAGCTTCTCTTGTGAAAATGAAGGGCAGGAAGGTGGACAATGCTTCCGTTGCTCCTTTGTTCCTACATAGGATGATTGCTGCCCTCTGAATTCGTAGGCTTTCCCAGCCAGTCTTGGACTCATGGGCCCCTTTTTGTGTACCTATTGTAACAGACCTGAACCCCCAAAGGCAGGCCTGTGTCTCTAGCCCTTTAAGGTGCTGGCTTTGCTTTCATCGTCGCCTGGTTGCCTACATGAGTGCAAAAGAGCTTTGTTTAGCCTTGCTCTGTCCAGGACAGCCTGCTTTCATGAAACGCAGTTTTCCTTTCCTGATGCCGAGACAGCACAAGGACCGTACACACGGCCCTTGAACCTTCCGCACCAGGCATTACTTTTGTGAGAAAGAGGCAGTAATGAGCTATGCTTTGATGTTTGGGCAGAGAAGAAACGTCGCCCCTCCAGGCAGCAATCCTGGTTGGCTCACGATGCTTCTTTATCTCTTAGCACCTGTGTAAACAATATTACGCTTGCAACCATATATTTTAATTATGTAGAATGCTCTGCGCATGCGTTTCCATGCTGCAAGTTAGTGATCTATAAAAGCTGGCCACCTCCTTTGTTCTCTGGTTCAGGGTCTTTTCAAGGGGGATTCTGCTGTTTTTTCTGAACCCAGCTGATTGGAGTCCTACCTTGCAGAAGCCCTCACTGTGAAGTGTCAGAGGCTTGGTGCTAAAAGTTTTGGCAGTCTAGCTGGCTTGTCTGGTATTATTGCAATAATAAAAAATCTACTTCCCAGCAAACCTGGAGGATTATGCTTGTATTTGCACACAGGAAACTTGTAAACATTTTTTCCACTAGAAAATTGCTTTTGATAGCATGGCCAGCATCCAAGGAAACTTTCAGGCCAAGCAGCTGAACTTTTAACTGAGGACCGAATTCTATTTCAGAGGAGCATCTGGGGCCGAGCTGCAGGCAAAGCAAGCAAGGCCAAAATACTCAAAATATTAGCAGACTATCGTCAAGATCTTGCTAGCAGTAACTAACCTTTATGAGGTGCAGCTCAACCTTCTAAACTGGGGTAGGGGGTGCAAAGCCCAGGATGCCACCAAAGAAAGGACAGAAGGTGTGTTGGGGAAGGCAGTCCAGCCTACTGGAGAGCTCAGAAGGCTTGGATGGAGACCTCGGGTGGGCTTGACTTGGCCCCTGAGCCTGAGCCTGAGCCTGAGCCTGTGCTTCTGCCCTGCTACTTTATTATATCTGTTTGAACAGCACAGAAGCACATTTTGCTTAACTTGGTTTAGAAAGCCCCTCGGTTTCGAAAGTAGCTTACCAGGTGACGTGGGTAAGTGATAAGAGCCTCTTGGGCCTTCGGGAACTCAGCAGCCATGACCAATTGCCTCCAAACGGGCTTTGGAACTTCATCCAGGGGACCGTTGCTGACCTAGGAAGCCCCACATGGCTTGGGATCAGGATACACAAACAGCAGGTCCTCCCAGTGCGAACCAGGCTATACTTTGCAAGCTTCAGTAGAACACCTCCTGTATTTCCCACCACCAAGAGAGGCTAAGCTGTTGAGTACATGAGGCTGGTCAATTGCATTTGGATGGTTTTGCATAAAGTCCTCCCTTGTTTTTAATCTGCTTTGGTCCTACCAAAGGTTAAGTCACTGTACATCACCTTCAAGGCCCTGGTGACAAGAAGAACTCTTCATAAATGCCTTAAATAAATAAAGTGTACTGTTTGTTGGATCTCAGCCAGTGTGCCATTTGTGAACCTCCTACTTGTATTGGAGCAATTTGCAGAGGAAAGCAACCCGTAGAATTTCCTGGCTGCATTATGAACACACTGGAATGGATTTCTGTTAGGTACTTTAGCTTCTACACAGATCCTAATAATTCCAAAGACAGATTAGCATTTTAATAATACCGCTACCGCACCTAAACACCTTAATCCTCAGTAAATCCTTTCTTTTATATGTTTTTTAACAAAAGTGCACATAAAAGCAACCTCCCCGAAATCAGTGAGACTTCTCGCTCTGCTCTGCACTGCGCTGTGCTAAGAGGGCTGGAGGTAGTGATGCTTCACCCACTAGTCTTACAGCAGGGAGCAGAGTTCAGATTAAAAGGCAGCATGGTGCCTTTTGGGGAAAGTGGGGAGGGCTGTGTGTGCCCCTGTGGGGCAGCTTGGAGGGCTGTGTGGAGCCTGTGGGGACAGCCCAGATTGCTGTACGGTGCCCACGAGGGCTGCTCGGAAGGCAGCGTGATGCTGTGCCTCTTATTCCCACCTCAGGCAACTTGCACCAGGGATTTTGGCTCCTGCTCCCTAGATCTGGGAGGAGAAAGGCAGGAGGGCCATGCCAGGGCATAAGATGAATTGTGGTGGATCAGACCAAGGGTCTGTCCTACCCAGCCTTCTGCTCACACAGTGGCCAACCACGGTGGAAGCCCACACATAGCATGTGAGGACAATAGCACCTTCTCCTGTTCTCCAGCAACCGACAGAGGTGTACTGCCTGTGGTCATGGAAGTAATGTATAGCCCTCACATCTAGTAGCCACGGAGGGCCCAGCAACGGGCGCGATGGCTTTTAGATCATTTCGTGCAAGCTTGCCATACTAGCATCCTGGGCACAGTTGCAAAGAACCAGGGAGTTACATTAGGGAAGCATCTGTGCCCCCTTTGGATTGCCTTTCTAGGCCGGCCTCCCTTAACCAAGTACAGCTCCCATCATTCCCAGGCAGGATGGCCAAAATGAAATACGAGAGAAGGTTGCAGGGTTTGAGAAAGACATGATCTGCATGAGAATGTGGTGAACAGCTGGAAAGATTTTGTAGTCCAACATACCTGGAAAGCACCAAGTTGGTCAAACCTGATTTCCATTCATCTCCCTTGGTCCCGTCTTTTGCCATAAATATGCAAATATGCATCTAGCCTGACCCTCAGCTCCAGTCACATAAAACCCAACTAGTGGTTGTCCAATCTTTCCTTGAATGCCTCACCCATGGGGCCTCCACCACCACCTGTGGAAGCCCATTCTTTATCCTAGAGGTCCTAACCACCAGGAAGTACTTCCTGACGTCTAACCTGAAACCCAGTTCCTTGAGCTTTGCCCCACTGGAACCACAGGGGAGACCAAGTCACGACCCTTTTACCATGCAACACCCCTTCACAAACCTATATGTCGCTATAAGATCCCCGCTGAGTCTCCTCCAGGCTGAAAAGCCCCAACTCCCTGAATCTCATCTCATATGTCTTTCCCCTCCATGGGCAACACAATCCACATTCAAGAGTCAAGTGTGGGTTGCTGATCGCTGACTGAAGTATGAGTTACTCTGCTGTCTGAACCCAGTCATGCTAACAAGCCAAGGCTTGTTAACATTCACCAAAACAAAATGCACCATGATGAGAGCCCATAGTGAGTTGTTGGGTCGTGAACTGTGGGTTGTCCATCATGGTTTGTTATCTCGGATGGCACAACCACCCACAGTTCAGTGACAACCCGTACTGAACCCATGTGCAACCTTCGAGGGTTGGTTATCACCAGTCTGAATCTGCACAGCCTGGATCCAGCCATTTCACATAATAGCCAAGTTGGCCAGCCCAGCCAACAATAAAAGCCCAGCCTCTTTGCTCTAACACACAATAGGTCACCTTCACTCACATGGCAATTTCCAATATTTCTTGCATTTGGAACATTCATCATAGCCATAACCTTTCAGGCTGTTTCAAAACCCCCAAAATCCCAAATGGGGAAAGATGTGAGCAAGCCAATTACTCATTTGTCACTCCCTGACAGCCTTTGATAACTTGCATATTGTTTGTGTGTGTGGAGTAGGGGAGGATGAAGTTCTGATTATTTTATGAAAAATGAGCCATCTCCAGTTCATGTAAAATCCTTCCTTCCTTTGAGGTCTTGTTACACTGGAGAGCCTCGACATAAGACAAGGCAGTCATGTGCACCAGAAGCTAGACTCATGCGGCAGTTTCTGGGGACAGATGGGGAGGGTTCTGGAAATTAAGTCCTATGACGAGTCGTTGAAAGATGGCAGACCTTTCAGGCACCAGAAGCAAAGCTGAAGTGGAGCAATGCTAGCTGTTTTCAGGTACCTGAAGGACCTACAGAAAATCATGCAGACTCCTCTGTAGCTCTGGAGGCACAAGAAGAACCAGCAGGTGGAAATGGATGCACTACACATTTTATCCGAAACCCGGGAGAATTGCTTAACCAAGTGCTTGTACCGTAAGCATTCAAGAAGTGGCTGAATGCCCGTTCTTCTGCCCCAGGGGTCTCGCACTGACTGCAGGGTTCAAGTAAATGACCTTCAAGATTGCCAGCTCTTGAATGCCAAACATGGTTGTGCAGCTGGAGTGACACACTTACGAGAAGCGTTTACAACTGCAGTGATGGTTTGGTTTAGGGGGGAAAGAGGAGTAAAAGGAGACAAGATGTAGGAGTGTAAAATTAGGCCTGATGTGGAGAAAGTGGAAAAGGCATGTTTGTCCCCCACATATAATACCAGAACTCAGTGGGTGACTCCATGGAGATGCTTGGTGGGAAATTCAGGACAGAGAAGAGAAAGTTCCCACAGCACATAGAGAAGCTACAGAATTCACTGCAGTGAGATGTTGTGATAGCTACAACTTTGGATAGCTTTATCTATTCATTTAGCACTTCTGTCTACCGTCT